TCCTGTCCCCATGTTGAGAGAAATCTGGAGTAAATGCAAAGACGTTGTGTACATGATGGATAGGCTACTGTAGTTCTAGACTAAATATGAACATGCAGTTACTTTCCCCAACTCTGCGCTCAGGATGCACAAATAAGAATTGAGAAGCACCCCTGCAAAGCTTAGCTCCAACTTGCCTCAACACACCTGCCTGGAAGTTTCGCCTTGTAAGACCTTGATTATAGCTGATTCGGGTGTGTTTAACTGGGTTGGAGCTAAACTCTGCAGGTCAGTGGCCCTCTAGGAGCAGGATTGGACACCCCTGCTCAAGTGTTTCCTTTTAGCATAAACTTTTAGATCAGGGGTGTCAAACTCAATTCCTGGAAGGCCGGAGCCCTGCAGAGTTTTGTTCCAACCCTGCTCCAACACACATATCATGTAGTTTTCAAATAAGCCTGAAGGACTTGATTAGTTGGATCAGGTGTGTTTAGTTAGGGTTGAATCTAAACTCTACAGGGCTCCGGTCCTCCAGGAATTGAGTTTGACACTCCTGATTTAGATCAAAAGGTTTTCAAGGATGTGAGTAACATACAATCAGTCAAGCCTGTCCAAATCTTTTACTGCTTAAGTAAACTTGCCTATTTCTACTTTAGGTTCTAGTTTCACAAAGGTAAAAATATGAAATCTTTTCAAAGTTTAACAAATTCCTACTTGCTTAAACTAAATGATGAACAATTAATTATGGTGATGCTCAAGGAGGTGAGTCAGCTAGCAGTCCCAGATCTGGGCTAAAAACCATGGAAAGAGGCCATGAGAAATAATCCACCCAACGTGTTCTTCCTGCTGGGGGCAGATGCAGACCGTGCTGATGAAAGAGCAGCTGCGCCCAGGGACACCTTCAGGGCTGGACTGGTAATCGGGCATACCGGGGATTTTCCCGGTGGGCCGACGCACATAGTTGAACAAAATCGTTCAACTTTTCCCGCTGCGCTCTGTGACGTTTACCCGCGCGGCCAATATGGAATTATTTTTGTGTCAATAAAAATGAACGTAACTTTATAAAACTGAACGTAACTTTTCCAGAAACTATCAAAAATATGCCATTACAAAAGAAGAAAAACACAATGAAAATGAAAAAAAATGAACTCAGTCGCACAAATTTAACATGCTCTTCAAATATGCTTCATTCTTTGTTAATGATTTTCAAAGATTCGTTTTCGCAAATCATGGATTCTGAATGCGTTGCCAGAGATTTCGCTTAAGCTTCGCAAATTTTCATTTACTGTTTTGACACAAACCTCTCGTGGGGGCTATGGGATGATATTAGACTCAAAATGATTAATAGATGCACACACAATTATCCATGTACTGCAGGGGTGCCCAACCCTGCTCCTGGCGATCGACTGTCCTGCAAAATTCAGCTCCAACCCTAATCAAACACACCCGAAGCAACTAATTAGGGTCTTCAGGATCACTTAAAAATTAAAGGCAGGTGTCTTTGATTAGA